GAACTCAGAGCTCCCCCTGCTTTATAATCACCTCAAGGGAGCTGTCCTACAGTCTGGGGCGGGCTCCACCCTTGATCGGTCCCCTCTCGGCTCCTGCCCAGGAGATGTGTGGCATCTCTCTCTCTCATCATCCCACAGGGGCTTGGAAACAAGTTGAGACCAACCTTTTCTGCCCCTTGCTCAAACAGATTCCCCCTCCCGTGAATGCTCTCCGCTCTCTGGATCACTCTTTGGTTTCTGAATAGAAACTCCTCTTTGGGGAGAGGGTTTTACTTCATGTGGTACTGGCTCTCGCCTACAGGGCACTGAATAGCCCCATCTCAGTACTTGGCTTGCTGAGATTACACCACAGGTTCCAGGTGAGGTTATATGTGCCCCGGAGTTGCTAGAACATGGTCTTAGCGTAGTGGTTCTCAGCCTTCATGTCAGGACCCTTACATACAATTCCTCATGTTGTGGTGACCCCCCAACCATAAAATTATTTTTGTTGCTACTTCATCCCTGTCATTTTGCTACTGTTATGAATCGGGTGACCCCCGTGAAAGAGCCGTTAGACCTCCAAAGGGGTCGCGACCCACAGGTGAGAACCGCTGTATTAGAGCAAGAAGCCTAAGGGGACTAGAATCCTGAACCAAACGTAAGCGTCCCTCCTGGTGAAGTGGGCCCAGGAGAACCCAGAACCTCGTCCCTGAGAAGCAATGGCAAAGGACAGGAAGATCTCCGTTATGAGCAATTAGTTGGATTTTGTGTTTTAAACCCACCCGCTCTTTGTACGCTGGGCTGGAACCGGCCTACATGGGGGCTTGAGGCTCTGTTCTGTCTCTCTAAGTGCTCGTGGGAATTTGGCTGCATACACCCTGGTTTTTATTTGTGTTTCTAATTTTATTTTGTTGTGATTGTTATTGAGAAAATGCAAAGCACAACATCTACCACTTCAACTCTTCCTCCACGGACCAGTCAGGGATGTCGATGACAGTCTTTGGGTTGGGCAACCATCCTCCACGATTCTTTTCCGAGTCATCCCCACCCCCACCCCCTATTCCCTTCAACCCCCTGCCCTCTAAAGTTTCCGTCTCATCTTTCAAGTTGCTGGCCATGCTCAGTTTTAACTGAATCGTCTTTCAGGTCCAATGACACTTAAAGGGTGATGGATAGTGAAAGCAAAACCAAACCAGATTTTTAGGGGTACTTTGAGGAGCCCTGGTGATGCATTGGTTACGGGTTGGGCAGCAAACCTCAAGGCCGGCAGTTCGAAACCACTAGCCGCTCTCAGGAGAAAGGGGTGGCTTTCTCCTCCTGTAACGAGTTTCAGTCGGGGACACTCACAAGGGCAGCGCCACCCTCTATTTTAGGGTCTCTGTGAGTCAGCAGAGACTGAGTAGCCGTGAGTTGTTGTTGTTGTTTAAAATAGCAGGAATTGAGTATAATCTTAAGAGCAAGTTGTTTGGATTTGAAGTGATTTGAAGGAGTGATGGTGTAAGGAAACATTAAATCCCAAACAAACCACCACTGGCTCATAAGTTAATGATTGTTTTTTCT